AATAAATTTCTCCCCATCACTCTACTATATGGACTGCACCATATCCTTCGTATGTAAACCCTGGTTCTGTAGTCCCCAGTGATGTGGGACATTCATCCTGTGTGGAGCATCTCTAGTCCTTTTCCTCTGCTATAGGTTTTTATGTGATCCCGCCTCATGCTTCTAACCTCCAGTCACGGAATTATAGAGTCGTGACAGATTCCTTCTTCAACTTTCAAGAAAACAAAACAAACTTATCAAACCTCTCTTTGAGGCTGAAATTCTCCAACCAGGCAGCAAAGTCAAGACTGCTTTGCACTCACTCCATTCGCATGTGTTCGAATATAGACAATTATCTGGAGGAAAGGATAAGTCAGCGTTTTGGGTATGACCCTTCTTCAGGACTAGATGTGAGGTTAGGGGGAGCTGCATATAAAGGGCGGAGGGAAGGGGGGAGCGGTGTGGTGGAATGGTGGTGACAGGTGGACACTGGTAGTAAGTCTGACCTGGTTGGTTGATGGGACGGATGAATCCGGTTGTTAGCTGGAAGGGTGGGTCAGCAGGTGGAATGGAGGAGGTGGGGCTGGAAATGGAGCTGGGGGATGGGTGCGATGGTTAGTTGAAATTGGAGAACTCAGCGTTGAATCCTCTGGTCTGGAGGGTGTCCAGTTGGAAGTTTTATCTGGAGGAAAGCAGAAGTCAACATTCTAACATCTGCATTATTTTTTGTCTGTAACCTGCTTTCCAATGTTTGGTTACCAGAACGCACACTGCACTGAAATGGTGGCCTAACGGAAGAATGTACAGTTCCAACATGACCTCCCTACTCTTATAATCGATACCAGCATTGTTAAAAACAGCTTCCCATATGCTTTATTAGCTATGGTCCATTAACCTGTCCTGGTACCTTCAGGAATCTGTGAACAGGCACCCAAATCCCTCTATTCCTCCAAGCTTCGTAGTGTCTTACCATTCATTGAGCAATTCTTTGTCTTGTTCCCTCTTTGAAAGCTTGTTTAACAAGGCTGCATTTCAGCTATCACTGGTTTGTCCATCTCACCAATGCGTTTAAATATCCCTGTCACCTAATAATCTTTGTCCTCACTGTCAACCAACTGGCCAATTTATTGTCTTCCAAGAAATAATACTGAACATTCATCTCACATTCCCATCTAAGTAATTTATGAATATCACAGACAACAGTACTGATCCCTGTGATAGTCAGAATGGCCAATGTACATTGAGATAAAAAATTTTCAGAAATGATTTCCAGACCCGAACCGAGAACTTTCCTGCTCCTCTGATGCTGCCTGGCCTACCGTGTTCCTCCACCTCCACACTGTGTTATCTTGGCACTGATCCCGTGGTATGCGACAGCACACCAGGCTCCAGTGACACACCACCTTCTGTCTCCTAAGCCAATTTTGGATCCATCTTGTCACCTTATCCTGGATCCCATGAGCTTTTACCTTCTTCATCAGATTCCCATGTGAGATATTGTCAAGTGCCTTATATCCATACGAACAAAACAACTGTTGTACCCTACCTACACGCTTTGTCACCTCCTTGGAAAATTCGACTAGATTTTTTTCGAATGACCTGTCTCTGACAAAACCACGCTCACTTTCTCTGATCAAAGCTTGCGTTTCTAAATGGAGATTAATTTTCTCCTTTATTATTTCCTCTAATAGATTCACTGCCACCAGTTTTAGACTCATTGGTTTATACTTCCCTTGTCTGGCTCTACCACTCTTCTTGAAAAGTAGAGCTACTTCAGCTGTCCTCCAGTTTTCTGGCACCTTCTCTGTGGCAAGATGATAGGAAGATATGTCTCAGGGCCTCTGTAACTTGTTCCCTCTTCTCCCCCTGCAGTTTGAGATACACTTCTTCCAGAACTGGGGTTTCATACACTTTTAAATCTACTAAACCCTTCAATATGTCCTTATTTCTTATATTAATATGGTCAAGAACGGTACAATCCGTCTTCTCAAATTTTTTAATTGTATCCTCCTTGTCCCAAGTAAAGATGGCTTTTAAGGGCTCACACAGTATTCTACCAACGTCCTCTGGATTCATGCACAGATTATCTCCTTGATGACAAATGGGTACCACTCTTGCCCTGGATATTCTCTTCCTCTTGATATACTGACATAATATCTTGGAATTCTCCCTAATCGTGGCAGCAAGCATTTCTCATGCATCTTCAATACTCTTGTAACGGCTTTTGTGAGTTTGCTCCTTCACCTCCTGCACCACTTTACGGCTCCACTGTTCTGCTTCCTTATACTTGTTACATGTCCATTTTCTGACTAAAGCAAAGTGTGCAGTTTGTGTTACACACACGTAACACCTCTGTCTCTAGAGTAAGAGCTTACTTATACACTCAAACAACTCATAAACATTGCATAATTTCTGACGCAATTTAATTATTTTGATATTCAGAGAAATGTAGGTCGTATCTACTGCCACTTATGGGACACATTTTGCAAATCATACTTGTTTCGTGATTTTGGTTTAAATCATGTTTTCATTTTTGTCCAGTCCTGAATATTCTTATTCATTCATGGTTCTCTGCTTGTTACTCCTCCATTCAACGCCTAAAGTGAACATTTTGGTCCTGTACTCACTGTACTTTTTTAAATGTTTTCCATGGTTCAGCTGTAGACATAACCTCAAAGAATTGTTCACAGACTGTTTCGGCCAGATTCTGCCCTTCTTCTATAAATCTGCCTTACCCCAAACCAAAACATTTTCACATCTTCCAGAACGAACTGAACTGCATCACGTTGTAGCCACTATCAGTAGTGCTCCTCCAATTTGACCTTGAACACCTGGTTAGCTTCATTCTCTGGAGTTAGATTCAGCACTGCTCCATTCCATGTAGAACCATCTACATAAAAAGGCCTAAAAAGTCCTAACCAATTCATTCTTTTTTTCAGGTATCCTTCTCTATATGCGTGTGTATATCTGTTAATTTACATGCATGTGCACATGGGTATACATACGAATGAGTGCATGAGTGTGCATATTTTTAATGTGCATGCATAAACAAAGGAATGAAATAAAATTATGGCCAGTTCACTCGATTTGACACTCCAAACAAAAAGAAAAGTTGCTGGAAAGGCTCAGCAGGTCTGGCAGCACCTGTGAAAAGAAATCAGTGTTAACATTTCAGGTCCGGTGACGTTCCCTCTGAACCAGGATTAATATTCAGGGATTCATGAATGCACCTGTTAGTTATTTCCAAATAAGATGACAGACAACAGTTATAGGCGTTTTACCAATTTTTTTTCAAGTTTATCTAATCACGCACATATATACAATTAAGTGTTGCATAACGATTATTTGGAGGTGAATGAAATTTCAGGGTCATGAATGTATAAAGAAAAACTTAGAGGAACCAGTCAATGAGATTTGAATTGATGACTAAATTAAAATTATTGCATTGCTGGTGCAGCTGAACACTTTTGTGAATACTTTCCATATCAGGAATTAAGGAAAACATTTAGAATTCTTGATGAAAATAAGAATTACAAATCCCTATTCACTAAGAAAAAAGTACATTTGACCATAAGTGAGACTTCGTCACTGTAAAAATCTTCAGCATTATCACTGTTATAGAGTTTTGGAACTTCTGCACATATATAGAGGTCAAAAATATGACTGTATTATCAGGAATTACGGAATTTTCAGGGGAGAATCAAAGAATAACATGATTTAAACCAAAATCACGAAACAAGTATGATTTGCAAAATGTGTCCCGTAAGTGGCAGTAGATACGACCTACATTTCTCTGAATATCAAAATAATTAAATTGCGTCAGAAATTATGCAATGTTTATGAGTTGTTTGAGTGTATAAGTAAGCTCTTACTCTAGAGACAGAGGTGTTACGTGTGTGTAACACAAACTGCACACTTTGCTTTAGTCAGAAAATGGACCTGCTGCTGATCATTCAAATCGAAAATATTTGTTATCCTATTCTTGCAATAATTGGTGTTCCTGGTCAGATCCTACTCCTTAATTAATCAGTGATATTTCATTGCATTTGTTTTGTGGCTGTTGGGATTATTATGTTATTAATTTGCATTGATTAAAATGTGGGTTTTCACAAAGTTTGATTAACGCCAATAACTAAATTTCTGAATGGGTTCTAAGTGTGCACCACATTGCTAAAATAACGACTCAACCAGAAACAGTGTTCTCTGACTGTCTAACTTCGGCATGGATCTGAGAATGCTTTAGTTTTTTAGGAACATCTCGCAGCTTTTTTGTTATTGGATTAGATAACCGAACTAATAACACTTAAAATAATTTCTGAAGATTTCTTAAAAAATGAAAAATGGAATTTTGTCTCGAGTTCTTTTAAATGCAGGAGAAATATTCGTGATCTGCCAGTCGCACGTTAATGTATTACCACCTTTCTTAGTATGCGACCATGGTTTTTACCAAGTAAGGTCCCATTTCAGCAATGAAACCATTTTATTCTGTATACTTTCCACCTGCGTGTTGTTAAGATTCTTACGTTCACTTGACAAAAAACGACTGCCTTGAACAAAAAAGACAATTAGGGATCGGCCAACTTTTTTTTTTTAACCAACAAAAGTGATGGAAACCGGACATAATTTGTCCAACAACAAGGTGCAGGGCTGGATGAACACAACAGGCCAAGCAGCATCATAGGAGCAGAGAAGCTGACGTTTCGGGCCTAGACCCTTCATCAGAATTTGTCCAACAACGACAATTTGTGATAATTCATGATACTTACCTGTGCACTACTTTCATTCGCTTTCTCTATCATCTGTATTCTGATGTTGCCTCAATGTTGCTTGCTTAAACGTTATAACAATCATTTTCTTTTACTTGGCTGCTGGCTACGCCGTCAGGATTCCTGTGATCAAGTTTGGAGAGTGCCAAAAATAAGGATGTTTGCAATCTACCACGGGTTGGGTGCTTTCTGTTGCGTTCCTAAATTATGTTGAAGGGTGGTTTATGTTATATTCACTTTTTGTTAATGCTACAGGTTGGTGAGAGAGTAAACTACTTGAAGCAATTTGGTTTCTTCATGCGTGAGTCAGCGTGAGTTCTGTGTTTTGAGAGTGTAATGAGTCAAGCTATGATAATAATCAATTCCAGTTTCAGAATCATACTTCTTATTCCTTCTAAAGTGGTGATTTCTAGGGAAGTTACTGGCATCGTACTACCAGACGTTCTGATCACCGGAGCTGAGGACACATGGAACAGAAAACGAATTTTCCAAGCTGTACATGACACCCCTCAAAGAAATCAATAAGTCAAAAGTGACCAAAATTAAAAAACAAATACTCTTTTCTTACTTCCAATAGGAATAATAATTGTCATGGTTCTGTTAATACCTTAGGTAATGGCAAGATGTCCTATTCTACATATGGCAACAAAGTACCATGGTTGATGTTTCGTGTCTGGCTGATAATGACTGCAGTCTTCTGCATAATTTGTTTTCTTGACGCAATTAAAATAGTCTAAATAATATGCCCCACACTTTCTTCTGAACTACGAGCATGGTGTTGACAATAGCTTTGATAGTTTCTGCAGAATGAAGTGCAGAGGAAAAATGGATATTACAAATTAAAACAAGATAATTATCATAAAATAACTAAGCTCAATCCTCCCTCCCTGCAGTTGTGAATTATTCAGAACAATTTGCAGAACAAGGATATTTTAAAAAAAAAAGTAATTTCGGATATTTTACAGTCCAGTGAGAAAAGTTTAATTGATTAAGGTGACTTAGAGAGATTACCAACCTGTCATGAATATGAGATAAATGTTATGATGTTTTACATTTAATGATAATCAGCCAGGCTTCCATCAAATCATGAAGTGAAAGCTAATGTGTCAGAACATGTTTCTGAATGTACTATCAAAGTGGTATGAGCTGTTGCATGAAGCATTTCTCTGTTGTTATATATGGATTCAATTTGTGACGTTTGACATATTTATGTGCTGACAAGATAAATAAAGCCAGTAGTGATATAAGAGGCAGCGAATTCATTTCATTGACAAGGAATTTTAGTGTACTTATGAATAAACTACGGAACACTGACATATAGTTACAGACAGTAATTGTGTTTATATTTACATAGCGTTTAGGGTTTTGTGGCAAATTTGTTGCAATATAATGCATATACTCATCATGTTTATTATTGCTAAGTTTCGTCGTTTGGGAGAATTTCACTTTCGGTAAAAATGGACATGTCCGTGCAATTCAAGACAATGAACTATTAACTGATTATCCCCTGAGGAAGGCCTCGTACTTAAGTTTGGTTTATTTTCACCTAATGTGGTGACAGTCTTCATTCTGTCCAATTGAAAGCGTGGACTTTTCAAATGTATCAGGCTACTACCTATTGGTCATGGCGGTGGGTGATTTGATGGACCTCATATTTTAAGTCATTATCAAATTAAAGATTCGTATTTCCCATAAACATTCCTTAGCTGTACTCCAATTTGTAGCCTCAATCTGACTTTGCTTTTCATTTCCATTGATTGGTTAAAGATGGCTTTCACTTTTGGTAGGTTTGTGGCTATTTGCTATTAAAATTTACGAACAAAATATTGCACGGAGAAGACAGCTGTGGCGTGTTGTGAAAGCATTTTAGAGAATACTGCCGTCTACTTTGTATACGAACCTCGGGAAATAATTGACAATCTGGCATGGCCTTGCAATGTAGACCAGAACTTCTACATTTTGCCCATATGGAGAGCATTTTGGTTGGGTGAAACAATTTTCACACCCTTTGCACCGTTTCTGTTGATAGTTTTGTTCAGCGCTCTGACAATCAGACATATTGTACTGGCCAATAAATCGAGGAGGGGGCTCCAACGAAAAAAAACTTGAAAGTCAAACTAATCCAGAGTTGGAAAGGAGAAAGAAATCAATCATTTTATTTCTTGTTATATCTGGTAGTTTTATGTCTTTATGGTTGGTAACTTTTACATGTTTTATATCTGTTAATTTTATAGAAATCCTTTTTTTTTAGAAACGAGTTAAAACGAGCCCTTCACCATTGTAAACCAGTCCGGATATGCGCTGAGGTGCTTGAGTGCTTGCACAAACACATTTATTTATGCGAGATAGTAAGAACTGCAGATGCAGTTGCCGACCCGAAACGTCAGCTTTCCTACTCCTCTGATGCTGCTTGGCCTGCTCTGTTTCTCCAGCTCTACACTTTGTTATCACATTTATTTATGCAGCGTCGCAAGCAGAAATTCAGACACAAATTGCTGAATGTGTTTAAGCGACCCTTGACTCGCTCATAGTCTAATTAAACAATGCATACACTTCTACATAAGCGGAATAACATAATTAGTTTTCTAATTCAAGCAGCAATTGTTCGACTGGTGATCAGGAATTGTCAGAAGTCACTACACCAGGTTATAGTCCAGCAGGTTTATTGAAATCACAAGCTTTCGGAGTGAAGCTCCTGCATTGGGTGCAGTGAGGGAGAAGTGCACACAGACACAAAGTTTATAGGCACAGATCAAGGGCAGGGAGATCAAAAGATCATACAACTGGTTTGAATGGAGTGTCATAAAATAAGTCTCTGCAGGTGACCAAGAGTGTTACACGGTGAGTAAAGTGTCAACAGCTGAATAACAAGAGAAGGGATGACGTCTCATTCGACTAAGCGAGGCAACAAAAAAAAGACAAAGTGGTGCTGGAGACAAATTAAATAACTGGAATAATATGTTAGGATTTAATTTAGTTAGTGTGAGACTGTAATGCTTTCAGAGTCTGTGAGATGGTGAAAGTCTGTCAGTATTAACTATGTGATTGCAAGTGGTTAATTGTGCTCGCTGTTTGTCCGTGTACGTGAGTTTAAATGTTTTGTGAATTTTACTGGTGCGGTAAAACTGGGTTTTATAAATGGTTAGAGTTTTGAGATCTGTTATGGGATTATTGACTGACGTTCAGAAGCATGCACTCACTGGCGATCATGCCTGCATGGAAACGCAGAAATACTGATGGTCACACTATTAGATACACACAGACATTCATCCCCTGCTCAAACACTCAGAGCACGGAATGTGGAGGTGCCGGTGTTGGAGTGAGGTGAACAAAGGCAGAAGTGACACGACGCCAGGTTATAGAGAAACAGGTTTATTTGAAATCAAAATCTTTTGCAGCGCTGCTCCTTCGTCAGGCGAAGCGGAGGGATGCACACAGGCACAGAATAGTGGAGAGATCAAAAGATCATTCCAATGGTGTATGAAGTGGCGACATACTGAAGTGGTCTCTGCAGGTGATCAAGAGTTGCAGAAAGTGTGAGTAAAGTGTCAACAGCTGAATAGCAGGAGAAATGATGACCTATAATCCGATTAAGACAGAGACATGATTACAAAAAAAATTAAAAATAACATGATAGGCATAAGAGTCGCAATCTGAGGGTCTAACCAAATAACAAGTAAATTGAAACTGTGCAGACTAATTAAGGTAGAGAGGTTATAATAACTTATCATGTTGATGCAGTCAAAACTGGACAGCAAGGACAATTTTACAGATACTGAAAATTGTGGGGGGTCACATGTAGTGCGACATGAACCCAAAATCACGGTTGAAGCCATGTTTATGGGTATGGAACTTGGCTATCAGTCTTTGCTCAGCGATTCTGTGTTGTGTATCTCGAATTCTGCCTTGGAGGCCGTTTACCTGAAGATCCCTTAACAGCTGATGTCTTCCCTGATGAGGAGGGAACATTCCTGTCTGGAGACTGTTGCACTGTGTTCATTCATCCATTGTTGTAGCATCTGCATTGTCTTGGGGCATCCTTGCCTGCAGTGTATGAGATAGACTGCATTGGCTGAGCCAACACACCTAGACATCCATCAGATCAGGCAATGGGACCCTGTGTGAGAAGCTTTCTGGCTATTCCGAGGGCATCTTGAAACCCATTGTACAAGGAACCCCCGTCTTCTGTTGCGGATGCTGCAAATTTCTTGTGGAAACTGAGCACCCACTGATGAGTCTAACTAGGAACATTCTTCATCACAATGGGCGTTTTCGCATTCTACACCAACACCCCCACGACGATGGCATTGCTGCAGCAACCTCAGTACTCAATACCAACAATTTCCGATTTCCAGATGCCATTCTACAAATCATCCGCTTCATCTCTGACCACAATGTCTTCACCTTCAAAAAACAGTTCTTCATCCATACACAGGAACAAACATAGGGGCCAAATTTGCACCCCAGTATGCCAATGCTTTTATGCACAAGTTTGAGGAAGACCTCTTTGCTGTGCAGGATCTCCGAACAACACTATACAACAGATTCATTGATGATAAATTCTTCCTTTTGGACTTGTGGTGAAGAATCAATGAAACAACCACATAGCAACATTCAACAAGTTTCATCCCACCGTCAGACTTACCATGGACTACCCTTCAGAATCAGTCTCATTCTTAGACACAGGTATTTCCACCCAAGACGGACACCTCAGTACCTCACTATATTGCAAACCCACTATAATCTCATGATGCTGCACTTCTCTAGCTTCCACCCTCAATATATTAAAGAAGCTATCCCCTATGGACATGCCCAGCACATACACAGGACCTGCTCAGATGAGGAGAAACGTGACAGACACTTAAAGGTTTTGAAAGGCTCCCTCATAAGAATGGGATACGATGTTCAACCCATGGATTATCAGTTCCGACATGCCACAATGAAAAGCCACAACGATCTCCTTAGAAGACAGACACAGGATATGACTGATAGAGTACCCTTTGTCACTCAGTATTTCCCTGGAGCAGAGAAACTATGCCATGTTCTTCATAGCCTTCAACACGTCATCGACAATGATGAGAATCTCGCCAAGATCTTTGCTGTGCCTGAACTTCTCGAATTCAAATAACTGCCAAACCTTAAACAACCCGTTGTTCACTACCCAGAAAACTACCCAGCCTTTAGGACAACATTAACCAAAACACTACATAATCCTGCCTTGGCAACCTCTGCAAGACATGTCAGACCATCGACATGGATACTACCATCACACGTGGGAACACCATTCACCATGTACACGGCAGATATTCATGTGAGTCAGCCAATGTTATCTATCATATATGCTGCAGACAAGATGCCTGGAGGCATAATATATTGGTGAGACTATGCAGACACTACATCAACAGATAAATGGACACTGTGCAACAATTGCCAGGCAGGAATGTTCACCCCTAGTCGGGGAACACTTCAGTGACAAGGGAATTCAGCTTCCGCTCTTTTGGTAAGCGTCCACAAGGGTGGATATTGAGATACACCAGAACACAGAATCGCTGAGTAGAGACTGTAAGCCAAGATCCATATGAATGAAGGTGGCCTCAATCATGATCTTGTGATCATGTCGCGCTACAAAGTAAAATATTCCTTACTGTCCTGTTTTGACAGCATCACATTGGTAAATTATTATGACATCTCTACCTTAATTACTTTGCAGTGTTTTGAATTACTTATTAGTTTGGTTAGACACTCAACGTGTGACTCTTACACCGATCATGTTATTCCAGTCATTTAATTTATCTCCAGCACCACCTTATTTTAACTTTTTTAATTAATTATTTCTCTGCCTCATACAATCCGATTATGGGTAATCTCTTCTCTTGTTATTCAGCTGTTGACTTTTTATTCACCGTCTAACACTCTTGGCCACCGACAGAGGCTTATCATATGACACTCTACTCACACCAGTCGTATGATGTTTTCATCTGTCTGCCCTTGATGCCTCTGCCTGTAAGATCTGTGGCTGTGTGTTCTTCTTTCTCACTGCACCTGCCAAAAAGGGCTGCACTCCGAAAAATTGTGATTTCAAATAAACCTGTTGGACTGTAACCTGGTGTCGTGTGCTTTCTGAGTTTGTCTACCCCAGTCCAAAACCTACTCCTTCACTTCAGGAATTGAATAGCATAATTATGTGTGGCATGTATCAAGTAAACACTCTGATGAACAAAGTAAATGCACTCCAACAATTTGCTCTACAGACATCCTTGATTACCAGAGAATGATTTTCAGCTTCAAATTGCCACTTACTATTAAACTGAACAATTTGCTCTATGGATCTAATCGGTCTGTGTTGGGACGTCAATGATATTGATTTATGGAACAATGCTTAGTCTCCTAGTTGATCAGTCAATGACATAGGACACACCACTTTAATAATTGCTAATGTTCTCCATCTGTTAAATTGAATCTTTGTTAAGTTATTAGTTATAACTTGCGTGCAGATTGAGATAATAAGCAGAGATATAAAAAAAGTAAAAAAAATTATTTAAAATGAATTAAATAAAGATAGAGGGTCAAGTGACGTGTTGTTCCTGCATGATATGGAAGCTGGTGGACCCCATTGTGGTTCCCAGTCTCACATCAGTAATAAATGTTAGTTGATTGTCGAAATCTTGCTCAGAATTGATGAGCTGGATTCTGAGCTTTGGAAGTTGTGACACATCAGGGAGGGACAGAACTACCTCGACGCTGTGTTTCAGGGGACAGTCACATCCCTTAGACTAACTAACTTGAATTCGGCCTGTGGTCAGCGACAGGAGGGTGTTTCTGTGAGTGAGGCAGGTAGAGGGATTTAGAAGGTAGAGTTACAAGACCCTCAGCCCTCATCCTTGTGTGGATGGGAATGGGGACTGCAGGGAGGAGGAGCAGACTGACAGCAGCACCGTGATGTAGGGAGCCATTCAAGTCGGGGGAGAGAAGAGAAATGTAGTTATAATTGGGGATAGTATAGTAGGGGCATAGACACCATTCTCTCTGACCAGGATCGAGATTCTCAAAGGTTGTGTTGCCTACCTGATGCTCGGGTTCAGGATATCTCATTTGGCCTGCCGAGAAACTTGAAGTGGGAGGGTAAAGATCCAGTTATCATGGTCCACGTAGGTACCAAGGACATAGATAAAACTAGGATAGAGGTTCTGCTAAGGGAGCACGAACAGTTAGGATCTAAATTATAAAGCAGAATGAAAAAAGTAATTATCTCTGGATTACTACCTGAGCCATGAGTTAATTGGCAAAAGGTCAGTAAGATTAGGCAGGTAAACACGTGGCTTAAAGTTTGGTGTGCAAGAAGTTGGTTTGAATTCATGCATCATTGGAACCAATACTGGGGAAGAAGGGAATAATTCCAATGGGATGGTCTTCAACTGAATCGTGCTGGCGCCAAAGTCTTAGTGAAGTGCATAACTAGGGCTGTAGACAGGGCTTTAAACTAAATGGGGGTGGGGGAGGGTTCAGTTGCAGTGGAAAACCCAAAATAAAGGAGGACGTAACAGTGCAGGTTACCAATGTAGCGGATGGTTATCAGACAATAAAGGTGAGGGACAGAATCTTTATGCACCAAGGACTTACAAAGGAGTAAGGAAATTTAACAGTAGATCATATTTAAATGCTTTGTATCTAAATGTATGATGAATTTGAAACAAAGTTAATGACTTAATGGCACAAAAAGAAACATTAGCAACTAATGAGATATGGTTACACAGAGACCAGGTCTGGCAATTGAATATCCAAGGGCACTGGGCATTTTGGAGGGATAGACTGAAACGAGAAGGAAGTGATGCAGCTTTGCTGGTGAAGGAAAGGATTAGTGCTGTAATGAGAAATGACATAAGCATGGCAGATCAAGATGGGGAATCAGTCTGAGTGGAAATAAAAAATAGCAAATTGAAGAAGTACTTGGTTGGAGTAAACTATATTTCCACAGTGGGGCACAGTATAAACCAAGAAATAATTCAGGCTTGCAAGAAAAGTACAGCAATAGTCATGGGTGATTTTAAAATACACATAGATTGGAAGAATCAAATTGGCAAGAGTAACCTGGAGGTAGAGTTTATTGAATGAATCAAAGATTCTTTCTTGGAGCGGTATGTTGTGGAACTAACCAGGGAGAAGCTGCTCTGGATTTGGTATTGTGTAATTAGGAGAAATTAATTGATGACATCACAGTTAAGGATCCTCTAGGGAGTAGTGACAATATTATGATATAATTCAAAATTCAGTTTAGGGGTGAGAAAGTGCAGTCCCACATGCGTGTTTTGGAATTAAAAAAGGAAATTACATTAACATGAGGACAGATTTGCCCCGAGTAGATTGGGCACGAAGGCTTAAAGGTAAGACCGCAGACAAGCAGTGACAGCTGTTTAAGGAGCTACTCAATACGTCATCATATATATCCAAGTGAGGAATAAAGATGATAAAGGGAGTAAAAAATGTCAATATCTAAACAAGGAGGTCAAGGACAATATAAAGGCAAAATCTAAAGTATACCATTGTGCAAAGGTTAGTTGCAAGCTGGAACCTTCAGAGAAAAACAAAAGGATATTAAAAGAAAATAAAAAGATCTAAGGCAAATTGCGAAAGAAACCTAGCACAAAATATCAAAAAAAAGCAAATTTCTCTATTGGTGCATAAAATGGAAGAGAGTCGCTAAGGTGAATGTAGGCCACTTGGAAGATGAAACCAGAGACTTTATATTGGGGAACACTAAAACGGCAGAGATGTTAAATCAATACTTTGACTCAGTTTTCACGGTGGAAGACAACAGTGCCATTCCTATTGGAACGGGCAAGCCAGAGGCATTAGAATGGGTAGAACTTAGAACAATCAACATTGTTAGGGAAAAAGTACTCAGCAAACCATTAGGATTGAGGGTAGACAAGTCCACTGGACCTGATGGCCTACATCCTAGGGTATTAAAGGAAGTGGCAGTGGAGATGCTGGATCCATTGGTTACAATATTCCAAAAATCCCTGGACATTGGAAAAGTTCCAGTGGATTGGAAAAATGCTAATGTAACGCTGCTATTCAAAAAGGGAAGGAGGCAATCTGTGGGAAATTACAGACCAGTTAATTTAACACCTGTTGTTGACAAAGTCCACAAATCAATTATCAACCGGCAATATCAGGGCGTTTGTAAAGTGAAACCACTATCCATCAGAGTCAGCATGGTTTTATGAAGGGCAAATCATGTTTGATTATTTTGCTAGAGTTCTTCGAAGATGTAAGAGGCAAAGTGGATAATGGGCATCCTGTCGATGCAATACATGACCATAAGACACAGGGGCAGAAATTAGGCCTATCGAGTCTGCTCCATCATTCAATCATAGCTGATAAGTTCCTCAACCCCATTCTCTCGCTTTTTCCCTTGATCCCCTTGATAATCAAAAACCTATCTATCTCAGTCTTAAATGTACTCAATGACCTGGCCTCCATAGCCTTCTGTGGCAGGGAATTCCATAGATTCACCACTCCGTGGCTGAAGAAATTTCTCCTTATCTCCGTTCTAAAAGATCTTCCCTTTACTCTAAGTCTGTGCCCTCAGGTCCTAAGCTCTCCTACCAATGGAAGCATCTTCCCAACATCCACTCTGTCCAGGCCATTCAGTATTCTGTAAGTGTCAATTAGATCCACCCTCATCCTTCTAAACTCCAACGAGTATAGTCCCAGAGTCCTCAAACATTCCTCATATGTTAAGCTTTCCATTCCTGGGACCATTCTTGTGAACATCTTCTGAACCTGCTCCAGGGCCAGTACATACTTCCTGAGATATGGGGCCCAAAACTACACACAATACTCCAAATTTGGCTTGACCAGAGCCTTATAAAGCGTCAGGAGTACATCCCTGCTTTTATTTTCAAGTCCTCTCAAAATAAATGCCAACATTGCATTTGCCTTCCTAACTACTGACTCAACCTGCAAGTTTACCTTGAGAGAATCCTGGACTAGAACTCCCAAATCTCTTTGCACTTCAGACTTCTGAATTTTCTCCCTATTTAGAAAATAGTCCATGCTTTTATTCCTCTTACCAAAGTGCATGATGTCACACTTTCCCACGTTGTACTCCATCTGCCACTTCTT